GAACCATCAATCAACATCCAGGATGGCTTGCAATTATATATGATCCACACAACTGGAAATACATTGTGTTCAGTTTCGTTCTTGACATTTTATCGGTTCGGACGAAATGTAAAAAATGGTCCTCCATATATTCTAAAGAATCTTCAACATATTGTTTTTAGCATAAAAATAATAGTGAATTATTCCGATTTTGGATCATTCGAGTTTTGCACACCCCAAGATTTTTAGTCCATCAATATGGCATCGTATGCAACAATTTATCTCATAAACGTTAATCATGGTAAGAGTCGTCACCTTATATACCGGACAAGACTTTCGGTTCTTGCCTTCGCTATTATCAGATAAGATTTTTGTTTTTTGCCATATTTATTCGGTAAGATAATATGACTTGATAAACATTTGTCCAAGTAAGCGTTTGATACGCAGTCCCTTAGAAAAACATTAAGTAATATTATAAAATGAACGACCAATTGACTTTTTATATATTTTTTTCTTCAATATACTTAATTAATACATAGTTGGCCTTGGCAATACTATAATACTTTTTATTTGAAGCCTATTAATTACTAAAAGTTTGTGTCTTTTTTACTTATTTTTTTTAACGAATTTACGATTATATAGTAGAAACATTTGGGCCTTACTTCTTAAGGGTGTTACCCCTGCATATATTAATGCTGCTGTGACCACCATCAAAACAAAGAGGACCATACAGTACTTTGTAGGCCGGCCATTGGATTGCCCTACTAGATTCACACATATATATAGGGTATATATATATATATATATATATAATTACATATTCGGAGGAAAATTATAAAAAAAAAAAAACTAAGTAACCGTTCATCTGTACGGTATTCACATGGTAATTTTAAACAATTTGTTTGGTATGTATATGTGCATAACATGCATACGTACATAAAAACCAAGAAACAACTTCAATTACCAGTATGTACGTGAGTATGTACATATACATGCCGTCCAGATGAATGATTACCAAAATGTTATTCAAATTTTTATTTTTTTGAGATTTTTCCTTGAACCGCTTATATACATAATGACAGGTTCAAACATAGTAACACTCTAGTGACGTGACGAATGTATGAGAGATGAGAGAATATTTTTGAATAGAAAGAAAATGCATATTTTGGTGCTAAAAGACAATGAGAGATGGGATGGAGCTTAAAAGTGAACCAATAATCAAGAGAGGGAATATGATATGATAGACATATAGGAAAGGGGGTAATGGTGCTCTCTAGGCCACCAACTGCTATCACAATTCCTACCTTTTCTAATCAGCCTATAAAGCCTAGCCTACACAACTGAATACTCATAAAAAGTCACATTGTATTTCTTTTATATATATATATATATATATATATATATATATATATGGACCCATTCAAAAAATAACTGACTAGTTTGTGGTAATCGTGAGATCCAATCTCAACTACAAATCAATAAATAAATTAAAAAAATTATAATTTTGGTAATTTTAAATTAAAATTTTAATACAAGGATATTTTAGGTATTTTCTCTCCTCTCTCCGTCCTTCGTCCTCCGGCCTCCATCTTCCGGTAATACCAATGTGATACCTAAAAATATTGACTCTGTTAAACAAAATACACAGTGTGATACCCAAGCATATATAAGATGTATTGTGATACCACTGTATTACATCTCCGATCGACCACACAAACGACCTCAGTGTGATACACAAACACATATATGATGCATTGTGATATCATTGTGGTATCACCGGAGGACGGTAGACGGTGGCTGGAGAACGGGGGATGGAGAGAGAAGAGAAAAGAGTAGAGAGTCTTAAAATACCTAAAATTACCAAAATTATAAATTTCCTAATTTATCTATTAATTTATGGTTGAGATTGGATCTCACGGTTATCATAAACTAATTAGTTCTCATTTGATTAGGCCCATATCATAAACTAATTAGTTCTCATTTGATTAGGCCCATATCATAAACTAATTAGTTCTCATTAACGACGGATGAAAGTAGTTTTTACGGTTTTTACAAATTGAAGTGGTTTTCATTTGATCGATCCTCTATATATATATATGTATATATATATATATATATATAGGGGAGCGATCAAATGCAAACCACTCAATTTGTACAAACCGTGCAAACCGCATTCAACCAATCATAATTTTTCATTTTGTTCATTTTTTTGTAATTATGAGAGGTTGATTAATCATTTTTATTGTGGAGGGTGTTAATCATAGATATTATCATCTTTATTATTTTAATTTTAGAGAAATACATGAAACAGTTTCATTAATGTTAGAGAAATACATGAAACAGTTTCATTAAGTATTATATGAAACAATTTCACAACCATATATGAAACAACTTCATCAAAAAAAGTATTATATGAAACAATTTCACAAGATTAAACAATTTCATGAAAAAATTTCATAAGATTAAACAATGAAATCGACAGATGAAGGTGGTTTGCACGGTTTACACAAATGAGAGCGGTTTTCATATGATCACTCCTCTCTCTTTCTCTCTCTCTCTCTCTCTCTCTCTATATATATATATATATATAAAAGAATAATCCAAAAGCCGAAAGATTTGGGCATTATAAACCTATATATGCCAAATGATGGTTGGATCATTTCTTTATTTGGCACAAAGCTTATTAAAACTTCATTGGTGTCTATGTTTTATAAATATAGTTATATAACGTTAAAAAAAAACAGGTTCGTACTGTAATTCGTATATTATATATTATTAAATTCATATGCTCAAAGGGGTATGTGATATATATATATATATGGACAAAAGATGGTTTCAGGTTTGTTGTATGATTGCTTAATTACGATGTAATTCCTTTGTTGATGGCTAGAAATGGACCATTACATACCGATATGTAAGCAGAAGGAGGGCGAAGCAAAACGAAAGATCGAACGAGGGGGTAAAAAGGGTAATTTGCAACAAATCGGATGGTGGTTGTACTTGTGAATGTGCTTAAAACTTTGAGAGAATTATTTAAGATACCGTTGCACTTATAAAAATATGCTACTTTTATGTCACCAACAATGGATCATGGCTTTTCTAGTACAATAAAGAATACATTCTCTTTTATGATCCCAATCTCTAATGGACTCATGGCATTACTCCAAACCCTTATAGGCCTGCGTGTGTTACTTTTGGTATTTAAAGAAAGATTATGTTTGTATGATGTATAAATAATCAGATATATATAAATTAACTATAATAGATGATGGTGAAAATATTATCTATAGAATTAGTCCCTCTCAATAACTCAAGTGCACATAAGCTAAATGTGTTTTCATTTTTCCATCGAACACTTTAAATTTTGATTTACATGTCTACTTATTATTTAATAAAGTGCATCAATCATTAGTGCTTTCCTTAAATTCTGATATGATTTATTATGCAAATGTGTATCAAAGGTGAGAAGTGTTATGCAATAGAGAAGTCAGCTAGTGCACTTAGACAGGTAGTTGATTTCATTAGGGAATTGAATTGCAGGAAGGTCAGCAGGTCAGGTAGTCCTTAGGCCGTTGAGCGAAACTCTTGGCATCCTCCTCTTATGAGGGGATAGGAGTGAAAGAATCATTATTAAACTACGAGGTCGCCCCCACTTCTTAGAGCTCTCTTGCTACCTTATAATAAGTTCCTTAAACTATAGGCAGAAAGGCCGAGGCAGAGCCAACAATATTGGCATTTACTAAGCTCGTAAATCATTTATGCTAACACTTTGGTGGTTCACAAAATCCTCCCAAAAGTGTGTTGTTTTGATGGATGCCACACATGCTGATGTATGTAGTCATTTTCTTCTAGTAGCAAGTAAGAATCGGATTCAAGAATTTGACTTTACTTATAAGAAACCTGTAAAAGCAAAAAATAAAATAAAAAAAAATACAGCAATGATGGCAAAAAAGTAAAGAAGCACACGAGGAATAATCAATCACACATGATAGACATACATGAATTTGAACAATAACTACACGAAAAAATTGTAAAGAAAGGTAATGACAATCATTCAGTTGATAAGATATTAAGAAAAATCGACTCAAATGATTCGTGTTTAATTCGAATTGTTATCGTTTACAGTTTTGTTTTGTTTTTTGTAAGGGTGTCCGGGTCAAAGCCCGACTAATCCCCGGCAATTTTTGGAGGCTAAACATGGCCCCACTTAAATGTCGCCAACACTCCCCTCCCAGGGCTCGAACTCAGGTTCATGACTATGTCATGCCCAAGCCTTACCACTAGGCTGGAAGGTCTTTGACTACAGTTTTGTTTTATTTGCTATTGTTTTCAAATATAATGATGACCACTGTAAGTTCCATCCAAAAGTGTTACAATAGGTTTATAGAATATTTTTAGATGTTTTAACAAGTTTTTTTAAGACATGTTCAAAATAAATCGTCATAGTCGCAATTTTTAGGTTAATATTTGAAATAGTGTTATATAAAAAGATTGGTTTATATAATACTTCTCAAATGTGTCTTATAAAATAACTAAATGGCTTAAAAAACTTGTTAAAACGTTCAAAAACGTCATACAAAAACTACTGTAACATATATTGATAGAACATTTTATTGTCCAGTCCTATAAACTCAAGTCCTATAAACTCAAGTCCTATAAATATTATATCATGACATTCAGACATTTTGTATTTATATTTTTATAATTTGTTTAAGTCGTTTATATCTAGAAAATATAAAAGCTTTATATTTTTTTACTAAAAACACAATGGTTTTGTTGCCACTGAAATCAATATATTTAAATAAAACATTAATTTTATTAAATTATAAACCATGTTCTACAAATTCAATGAATATGAGAAATCAACATAGCCTCTAAAGCCACAACTCCTATTCGTTTATCTGCAATTTAATCAACCCTTTACCTTTTTTTTATATTATAAATACATCCCACTTCCCTGCACCTCAAATCCACTCAAAGATTTACAGGAAACTAAAACATTTACAGAAAAGGGGAATCAAGAATTATGGGGAGTGAGAGCTGAGGGGCCTCAATTCCAGAAAGGGAGGGAGGGAGACACAGGAATTCAACTGTTCCTACATACCGTTTAGCAGCTGCAGTTCATATCGTATCTGTGTCTATAAAGCTCTCCTATCTCTGACACTCTGTAAGCTCTATCTGTTGTTTGCTTTCATTTGGGATTTGTTCCTTAGAGTATGCATGATCTTATTGAACTGGAGAAGATGATTTCAGTCATCCAAGATTGTTTCTTGAATTTTACAATCTTGATTTATTCTGTTTGTATGACGTATGATTTCGTTGCAAGATTTTAGTAATTTGTTGTAAGATTCAGACGAAACACCCATTTTGGGAATTCGCAAATCTTAATCTATGTCAATTCAAGTCATGCATGCGTGTTTGGATTGCGTCTTGTGGTTACAGATCGTCAGATATGTGGCTTTGTTTTGTGGTAACTCCGTTTTCAAGAATCCCCATTTTTCAATTTAGGGCTTTCTGCTAATATTAGTTCATGCTGAGGATCTTCATAATCCTTGATCCACACCTGCAAATTTAACATCCATGTTTAGGGCACATATAGATATATGATCTAATTCGCATTAGTTTCTTAGAATACAACAAATATGGTGTCAATTCATAGTTGTCGTATAGCTCTATCTGTTCTGCGTATCTTTACGTTGGCGGTAATTTCCACGTATATTACTTGACATCTGTTAGTGATTTTCGAAACCCCAAAGATGGTGTTTGTTCTTTATTCTACACGTTATGGATTCGTTTACTTTATATACGTTAAAAATCTTGGAACTTTATCCTTTCTTTCATTAGTAAATTTGATTCGATCGATTTGATTGATTGATTTGTAATGATTGGCAAGGGACAGAGAGGGCTGCACTGATTCTGATTGAAAGAAGGCCTCAAACTTCCTTTTAGGGAGAATTTTGTACCTTTAAGAGGCATCATGTTGGAGGGTCCAACGTTTCTTATCTCAAGAGAATTGCCAAGTGCTTGTGAGCAAGAAAGCAAATGGGCTTATAGCGCCTTTTGTGTCGCCGAGCTTTCGAAGGGAAAGCACTGCCTTGACGACACAGACGACGAAGAAGAAGAAGAAGCAACAGGGTTGAGAAAATCATGGAAACCATCTGAGATGCACAAGGGTAATTCAGTTTCCGAATCTGACCAATCAGATAACCAGAAACAGCAGGAGGATGAATCATGGATCAACCAAATTGGTCCAGACCTCTCCATAAACTGCCTTTTACACAGCTCGCGGTCTGATTATGGCTCAATCGCCTCACTAAACCGCTGGTTCCGATCTCTAGTTCGTGGTGGGGAGCTTTATCGGCTAAGGAGACTAATGGGTATCATAGAACATTGGGTTTACTTTTCATGTAACCTTTTCGAATGGGAGGCATTTGATCCAATCCGCCGTCGTTGGATGCGCTTGCCAACCATAGACTGTAACGAATGCTTCATGTGCTCAGATAAGGAATCTATAGCCGTAGGCACTGAGCTTCTCGTCTTCGGAAAAGAAATAGATACACACGTAGTGTACAAATATAGCATCTTGACTAACTCATGGTCACCCGGCATGAGAACCAATACTCCTAGATGCCTCTTTGGCTCTGCAAGTCTTGGCGAGATTGCTATTGTAGCTGGAGGGTGTGGACCATCTGGCAACATCTTGAGCTCGGCTGAGCTTTATAATTCAGAAACCGGGACCTGGGTGATTCTCCCCAACATGAATAAACCAAGAAAAATGTGCTCAGGGGTATTTATGGAATCAAGATTTTACGTTATCGGCGGAATAGGCGAAGAAAATAACAATGAGCTTGCATGTGGTGAAGTTTATGATTTGGAAACAGGTATTTGGAGCGAGATTGACAATATGTTTCCTGTATTAACCGGTCAAGATGCACCTGCAACAGCCAAGGCACCGCCTTTACTTGCAGTTGTGAAGAACGAACTGTATGCAGCTCATCATGAAGAACAGGAAGTGAGAAAATACGATAAGGGGCGGAATGTTTGGATTCGGGTGGGCGGGTTGCCGGAAAGAGCAAGCTCAATGAATGGTTGGGGGCTTGCGTTTAGGGCATGTGGTGATCAGTTGATCGTTATTGGTGGCCCCAGGGTTTCTTATGGAGGGATGATTGAGCTGAATTCTTGGGTACCGGAGGACAACCCGCCTCAATGGAACTTGCTGGCTCGAAAGTCGTCAGGTGGCTTTGTTTATAATTGTGCTGTCATGGGATGTTAACATAAATCTTTGACATACTTGTGTGTTTTTCCGGTTGTTGAAATGAAATTATATAGTGTTTATGTATAACAGGTTTTTTTTTTTTTTTTTGATTAACCTGGATATCCAACCCACTATGCGAGCAGACTAATCACAGGACGACCACCTGCTTTGCAGATAGTCCGGAGTCACCGCATTTGAACCTCCGTGGCCACAAGGAGATATTTATTCCTCCTTGGATTTGAATTTGGGACCTCCTGGATTTTTGTAACAAGTTTCTTTTTGTTTTAACATGTTATATATGGCATCAGAGAAAAAAAACAGAAAAGGGAAATCCCTACGACTAAGGAGTTCGTTACACAGGAATACTAGGTCTGCCAACTACACTACTCGAACGACCTATAAATAATTAAAAAAAAACAATGACGAGGATGTAAAAATCATATTAATACATGCTTAGGTTGGGTTTGAGCCATACAGTTATATATGGTAACATATGATATCATTTTTATATATGAAAAAAATCCATATTTTGTTATTTTTAGCAATTCTTGATTTGAACCACTTAGATGATTTGGAACAGAGTATACACACCTTGTAGATAACTTTCAGCCGGCTCCAAAGGCTATTGATAGGCCAAGAGAAAAATGTATGTACATGAGGGTCAACCGGTTCCGAAGGCTAGCCTGAAAAATGGTTCTCGAATATTTACTGGACGCTCTGCAGGTCGAAGAAGATCCTTGACCCATCCGTGTCACAACTCATCCAAGTGTCATAGAATTGCACTGGTCAAACAAACCCAGAACATGTAAACAGATTGAACCAAGAATTCACTCACCTACATAGTCATAGTCAGGAATTTCATTATTTCCTTTAAAAACTGTGATGAGAGAGAAATTAAATAAGAATAAAGATGTTATTTTGTTAATCATATATACTTAAAATTTTATGTCATTTTAATTATGAATACTTATTTTAATTTTTATTTTTTTTATAGTTTTAGATGAATCCTTCTCTCTTTCTCAATGTGTGTGTTTTTTGAAATTTATATAAAAAACAAATAATAAAAAAAGAAATATGATAAAATGTGGATCGGGTAGAGCGAAAAGGACCATCCACTTCTGACCTGTAGTCTACATTTATCCAGAATAATCAATAGAAAACTGCCACGTAAGCATGCATTGTGCCAATCGACATTATTTCTCGCTCATTCCCCTTCATACACTTTTATACATAAAATAATATACTGTTATAGATGGGAATTGGGAATATATAAACAAATCATTTTTTCTTTTTATCATATTAAATTTTAGAAAATTCTTTTAACATTTTGAGTTTTCCATTGTTTTCTTAATTTTAGAGAACTAGAAGAATACTCGTGTATTACGGCGAGATAAATCTTGATTTTAATGTTTAGTTTTTCTCTGTCTCTATCGATATAATATGATTTTAAGTGGTTTTGAGAAAACGATAATGTTTTTATTTTTGAATGAAATATAAATTTGAAGATAGTATAAAAATTTAGAAAAAATTAAATCGATATTAGTATCAAATTAACTATTTAATAGTTCTCGTTTTTTTGTGTAACTTTCTTAGTTCAATTTTTGTTATTACAATTTAATTTAAATATAATAACAAAGTAATTTATTTTTGATTTAATAATATAGTTTTTTATATAGATAATAATTAAAGATTATGTTAGAACTCAATAATTATCTTAATTATATTTTAGGTTTTTTATATTTAAAATGAATGTTTATCCTATATTTTATTATGTTTATCTGCAGTTAGTTACACAAATTTAAAAATGAAGGTTTAATAAGTTGTACTTACACAAAATTAATTGTAATCTTGAAATGTAAGTAATATGCATCAATAAACAATATTTCATGTATAAAAAATGAACGAAGTAATTTATATTTGGTGTAATAATATAATTTTATATAAAGATAATAATTAATTATTTTGTTAGAACTCAATAATTAATCTAATTGTATTTTAGATCTTTTATATTTTAAAATGAAATGTTTATCCTTTATTTAATTATGTTTATCCGCAGTTAGTTACATGAATTCAAACATAAAACTTTAATAAGTTGTACTTGCACACAATTTACTTGTAATCTTGAATTTTAAGTAATATGTATCAATAAACAGCACTTCATGCATAAGAAATGGTTTTTAAGAGCTTTTGTCAAATTCTTTATAATATAGTATAGATTATAGATAATATAGGAAATCTCTTTAATTTATATTTTAAAGAATCTATTGAAAAGGGTCCTAGAAGATGTTTATTAAATTTTTTATTAAGTCATGTATGGATAAATTTGTCTGTTTAGATAACTCTATTGATGTTTACTTTTTTTTACTGAATCAACCGTCTGAACTGAATGATAGAAATGACCATTTTACTATTCAGTTCATCTGATAAACTTCAACTAAAATATGAACAAGTGGGAATCCATAAGGATAAATATAAACTTGTGGGAATCAATGAACAATCTGAACAGTAAAAAAACTTTTAAAATCTGGAACAATATGAACTTGACCCATAAACAGTCCGTAAAAAAACATGTGAAATCAGGAACAATCTAAACCATAAACAATCATTGAACTCTCAACAAATAATTATTGAACAATATGAATTTAAGAGATGAGGGTTACAATTAGTTTTGGGGAAAGATGAATAAAGAACATAAATGTAAAGAGGCTTTTGAAATCAAAATCTGGAATGAGATCGAACTTCAGAAACATAAAAAGCCTAAAAGAACCATCTGAATGAGCTAGATAGACCATTAAGCCCTATTAAATTGCAAATAAACACCCCCTTAAAATTCAAACAGAACTTTTAGGTATATAGACATTGAAATTGCCCTTTTTAGAAAAGATATTAATATTAATTTATGATATCATTTTGTCTAATCTAAATCTTAGTTATGTTTGATTTATAGGATTCGATAGAATTTGAAAGGATTTGGAATTCAATTTCATTTTAATATCATGTTTGGTTTGAAAGATTGCTTGGATTTGGAATTCCGGGATTTGAAATCCTGCAAACATGGGATTTAGGAATCCCATGAGGGTTGTTGGTATTTCACGGGATTTCATAATATATATGTGTATGTTATAATGTTTTAAAATACGTTAAGAACATTTGTTTTGTAATAAACAATTAATAAAAATGTAATTTAATTATTCTTTAATTATTTATAATTTCATTTTATAAATTATTTATAAAAAATGAAATTCAATTTCATTCTAAATCCTACAAAACAAACACGCCAAATATTTCAAATCCAAATCCATTCAATTCTAAATCATTCCATGAAATTCAAATCTCTCAAAACCATTCTATCAAACCAAACGCCCTCTATATGATGATAATGATGATGATGATAATAATAATGATAATAATATGCCTCGTATTTTTAGTCAATAACATTGGGATAACACGATTAAATGGTGTGATTGGTATGCAAACAAGATTGAGCATGACATGACGGACGAAAGTGAGGTAGTCATGGTCCGTCATGTGAAATAATTGGGTAATTTTCTGTATTGAATAAATTGAAAGAATTACATAAAAGGAACCTATTTATACAACATTACAAGAAAACAATAAACAAAAAAAAAACTTCTAACTGAAAGTTGTTGCAAGCAACTAAACAGTCACGTGTACATATCAACATCCCCCCTCAAGTTGGAGGATGTGCGGACTGAAACATCCCCAACTTGCCTAAAATCGTACGATGTTGTCTGCCTGGAAGACTTTTGGTGAACAAATCGGCCAATTGTTGTTTAGTAGGGACGTAAGATAAAGAAATAAGGCCAACCTTCAACTTTTCTCGAACAAAATGACAATCAATGTCAATATGCTTCGAAGCATGAAATCAAAACTGTAATTGACCTAATCGAGTCAAGAACAGACAGAGAATCAAAATTGTAATTGACCTAATCGAGTCAAGAACAAAGAGATGGATTCGATCGAACAAGAGAAGAAAAGAGTCGATTCAATTTGATCGAACAACGATCATATTGAAGTTAGAGAAAAAAAAATGTTTACGAAGGTAGCTCTGATACCATGTGCAGACAGAAAAACCAAATGAGAGAAAAGAGTTTGGGTAATTTTCTGTATTGAATGAATTGAAAGAATTACATAAAAGGAATCTATTTATACAACATTACAAGAAAACAATAAACAGAAAGAAAAAAAAACTTCTAACTGAAAGTTGTTGCAAGCAACTAAACAATCACGTATACATATCAACACAGTAAGAACACAAGTTTTCCTTAAGGAGGTTTTTTCCACTCTAGACCCGTTTTTGAATCATGTTAGCTTCATTTTTTAGCTTTTAATTTCATATTTATTCTGTTTCTGAAAAAATTACAACAGACCAAAAATGATTTTATAAAAAATATCACTATATTTATTTTATATAGTCAAATGATGTCAGCATTTAAAAAAAAAACTTCAGTGTATGTGTCTAAATACACTGATTTTTTTAAATTAGTATTTAACATGTTTGTGGAATTTAAATGTGAACGCGGATGTGTGTAAGTGAAGAAAGCATGTCAAGAGTCATTTTCAATGAGTTTGTTTGAATTATTAAGAGTTTTGTAAGGTAGTACACATAAAAGTCTTGAATTCGGATTTCATTCTTACGTGTGTTTGATTTTTCGACAATAAAAGTTCCATTATTTTAGATGTCCTTTTCAAGGTCTATTTTAAATATTTGACGAATTTCATATAAATTTTTATGACAGTTTATTAAATAAAATATTATGATTTTAACTATAAATTAAAAACAATGGATTTTTTAGGGAGATTGGTTAAAATACGCATTTCCTTTCTATAAATTGGTCTTCCAATCATTTTTCTCCATATTTTACCCAAATATCACTACGTCCGCATGTCCCATTTTCGCCAACTACGGATCCAGCTAAAAGACAAAAAAAATCTCAGATTTGACCAATGTCCACAATTGCAACGGCTAGGTCAGCAAGTGGAGGAGGTGACACTTGCGGAGGTGGTAATATTTGAGTAAATTTGGGAGAAGAATGACTAGAAGACCAATTTATATATAAA